TAGTAAAGGCTGGCCCCATACTCTCCATCCTCCTTCCTGGGACTCCCAAGTGCTGGGATTACAGGTATGAGCAAATAACAGTCAATATTTTTGTATTATTGGTAGAGAAGAATTAAAAAAAAGCTTTGAAAAGTGAACACTTACAACATCCTGAAGTAATAAAACACTATAGACTATTACTATTGCTTAACTTCACCAGCAAATTACCATTCTTCATTTATGGTTAGTAAAGTAAGTAGAAGTAGTCTTTGTAGGTAGCACACCAAGCTATGTTCCACTCCAGGATAGATAAAAGGTAATTTGTAAGGAATAATACTTAACTAAAATAATCTTTTGACTGATGATATTAAATGGTGATGTGCTTCAAACACACAGTGGTGTTGGTGGAAGATTAGTGAGGATATTTGAGTTCAGATGGGTAACAACAAAGGCAAAATCATTGTCTCAAAAAACATTCCTCTATCTCCTGAGAAGCAGGACTCAATTATTCCAGTAGATACCAGTTTTTCACCTCTCTGGGGTTTATGAAACACTTAATATGAAAAAAGCATTGAATGTTCTCCCTGGAAAATTTATATTTACCTGTTTACTCAAAATCTTTATGCAATTTCAAGGGATGCACAGACTTCCATGAATTCTATCCACAGATCTTCTACATAGCCCAAAGTAGTATAAGATCCCCTATACTGCACATTACAAAATATTAATAACCTACTATGGAAACTATTAAATAAAAAGCACCATATGGGAGATTTTAACTATAAATAGAGACACAGCAGGAAAAAAAGATGGTGCCTGATGGAGCAAAGTGTTGCAGTGACAAATCATGTTTCATAGCACAGGGATGGAGTCAGGTAACTCAGGGGATCAGCATACCTGATGGGAAAGGATTCAAAAGGACAAAATCTGACTCAATTATTTTATAAACTTGTTAAGGCCCAATACTGTTCTTTGGGGAATATTTGATCTAACTAAATGAAATAAATGTCTTAGCTATACATGAATCTGGCTGCATTAAGGATTTAAGCCTTTGCCTGTAATTCTACTTATAGCAGAGGCTTAATTGACTCATCCTATCTACTATGACCTTATGGAGAACTTGTAAATGTGATCAACCTGAGCCACATATTTATAATATACATAATGTTTTGAGTACACTTGTAACATATTTCACACTACATCACAAAACTGAAGTTATAGTTTTAAAATAATGAACTGTGGTATACTAAGTGTAAATGCTTTGTATAAATGCTCTTTATAAAAGTATATATGCTTCAATCAGGTTGAAGAGGCAACAGCACATGAAAAATTAGTAAATAATAGTAGGAGTAATAAATTTGCAAGACATTAGCACAAGAGACATAAATTAAATATGCCTAATCATCAGATTCATGATTCAGTGCTTAAAGTTACATTCTTAAGGATACAATCTCTCTTGTTGTGCCTTCATGATAAGGGAAGCACATCACAAAAAAATGCACTCAAATTTATTGTTGATTAAATAAAATGTAGTTGTGATGTTGTGCTTTGAATTCCTGCTTGTTTAAACTAAATATACTCTTTTGTGCAGCCTTGAAAAAAGATGAAGGAGATTGACAATATGAAGCAATGAGTCAGAATTCATTCTTAAGTTCTTTTTATTTCCCTTCTAGGCTATAGATCTTGGCATCTACTTTCATAACATTGGTGTCTGCTTCTTCTTTCATTCCATTCTGAGTGGGTAGTCTGACCTGTTCTGTCAGGCTGGCTCTGTGTGGAGGCAGAGCAGGCAGCTGCACAGGCAGAGTGATCCAAAGGTTCCCCAGGAATCCTGATTGCTGTACTTCCCCAACCCATCTTGTAGACAACAAAATCCCATTGTTTAAATTTTTTTTCTTTAATCCTGAAGATGTTTCTATTTTAAAAATCTTATTGCAAATGCAAATAGCACTGAAAACAGTAGTTTTGTGTCATCATTGGTATGAAATTCAATGAAGAGAGGAGGCTAAGCAAGGAGTGGGAAGCTAGCCTAGTAGGAGGGAAAACTGAAGTGAAAAAAAGAAGAGGTGTCTCACTTCACTTGCTTGAAAGCTGTCTTGAGGGGTTGATGCTGTATTCTGGTCCCAGAGTATCATTTTTCAGCCTGACCTAATCTTCACCAATCTTTCATTAAGGAGAAAGTCATCCTATCTTCAGTACTACAAACTCATAATGTTTAGACAGAGTAAAGTATCCTTAATCATTGATTATTTTTCCTTATTACCCTACTCCAAACAGGGCAAAGGTATCTTTATGAGAATAACTTGGATAATAGTATCACTTTTATTCTTGTTTCCTTTTAGTAATATTGATAATATAGCTCTTCACATAAAGATCATTATAAAGAAATACAGAACCTTGAGATCCAAAGAACAATCAAACTAGTTTAGCTACTAACTCATATCCCCAAGTTTCACAAACAGTTGTTTAAGGTAAAAGTAACAATATTTAGGAGTAGAAATTATTAGTGTTGACACGTATGTCTTTTTAAATAATAAAAAACATTTGTAGATTTACTTTCTAAATAATGGCTAAAAGTTATGACCCTGGCCCCAAATTAAAACCCATAATGATAAAAACTACAATAGTCAAGATAAAGAGTCCCAGGAAATTCTATAGTAATTGATATACTTTGTGTCTTTGTTCAAGCTTAACTCAATAATGGATTGTCTGTCATTCTAGGAAAACAGTAACCATGTAGTGATATGATTATAAAAATAATCCTTTCTACCAGGAACACATTTAAGATGTTTGAGAAAAAATCCAATGAGTTAGCTAGCTGTAGATAGTACTTCAAAATCTGAAATTAATAATTTTCAGTTTGGTTTGGGAAGGGAAAGTAAGGAGCTAATTATTGAGTGCTTACTAGAATAGGAATTTACAACATAGATTAGTTCAAGTCTCACAATATACTCACTAGATAGAACATATTAATTCTTATGGATGAAAAAATTATTGTTCAGAGAAATTACATAAGTCACTCTCTGTCACATAATTAGCTTGTGGACACAGTCACTCAGATCTGTCAGCTTTCTTTCTGCCACATGCATTTTGCAAGGCAAAGGGATTTCTAAAGCTTTTGTGTTCCTACCTTCAGAAGCTCTTTTATAGAAATAAATCTTCAATTTAGATTATCTTTATTAAAATAAGAAAATTTGCTTTAACTTTATGTTTATCAGATTTTAAAAGCCCTAAATATTGTTAAAATTGTGATTTTAACAAGAATTTCTAAGAGAAATCATTAGAATAGCTTCAATCACTGATTTTTCAAATAAATATCTGATTTAAATAGCATATCTTTAGAATCACTCTGAGTTGCTTAATACCTATTATATACAATTGCCAGGAAATTATCTGAGTTTTGTACTTTTAGTACAATTTTACTAAAATCGTCTTTGCACTTATAATTTTAGGAGGCTTTTGAGGGTATATGAGCAAATAACTAAATTCATAAAACACAAATCCATCCACTAGGGTGCACACATACAAATGAGCAAGAAAAATTTTAAAAACAAAATTTAATTGCTAAACATTCAAAAAGTCTTCAATTTATGTGTTTATTAAACTTTCTAGACAACTGAAGTTCTTGGTTTGCATCCTATTATGAAACCCTGTCATCAGAAAATTGATAAAGTTTAAGAAAACATTTGATGTTATATAATGAGCTATAACTTGTCTCTCAGATGGAATAACGTGAGATTATGGAATCTAAGACTAATGGATTAATAAAAATACCACAGTGCCCACTATACTTTCCTATTTTTTGAAATTCCTTTAAATGTAGGTACAACCCATCAAACAAACAAGATATATTGGATTTGGGCCTCCTTTCCCATGAGATATTCCTTGTGTATCAATTTTTTTAAATGACTGATTTTGAAAAATCAATTTGAAAACTTTAAACTTTTCCTTAACAGTGCCTAAATTACTGAGATTTGTCTTGCTTCTGTTAAATTTCAAAAGATACCTATGAAGTCAAGTTACTCTAAATTTCTAAGCATTTAAGAACATCTACTTTGAAGTTGGTCCAAAACTTATAAAAATAAAACAGAACAAACAGTGGGGTCAATATCAGTGATCTACGACAGATAATGTTAAAAGTCATAATCATTAGGAATAGAAATAATTATTGTCATGTGTGTGCTTAAATAGGAGAAAACATTTAATAGTTATATATTCTAAATAATGGCTAAAAGTTCTGAACCTGGTCCCAAATTAAAAACTGATAATGATAGAAACTACAGTAGTCAAGATAGTGTCCAAGGGAAATATGAGTAATTAATACACTCTGTGTATTAATTCAATAATGGACTGTCATTTTAGGAGGACAATGATCTTGCAGTGGTATGATTATAAAAATCATCATTTCTATCAGAAATGTATTTAAGATGTTTGAGGAAAAAAAAATCTCCAAACAAAGAGTTAGCTAGCTGTTGAATCCTTTTCAGACAAGTTTCATCTCGTTTTAGTTTTGTCCATCACCACAAAAGCTATTTATTTGGAGCTCATTGTAAACTAGAAGTGGTAAAAACCTAAACACAACTGAATTTCATTTTTAACAATTGGAGTTTTTCGGGAAATGTGATACATTTGGAAATGCAAAAGTATCCATTTTGAAAGTGAATTTTCTCAAACTGCTTTCTCTATCCTGCTTCAAAAGAAATGCCAACATGACTCAAAGTCCTTCACCGATCACTAGAGTAAAAAATATGATTGCAGTGAGACCTGTGTTTATAAGTGATCTATCACATTTCTTCTATCACATCTCCAAAACAGGAGAGGGTTAGAGACAGTCTGATGTGTTTCTATTGGTGAAAGAATTGTTTGTACTATCATCAAGTAGCTGAATATTGAGTGTGTCTGGCCTTGATGCGGTCCTATATCTTACAAGCTGCTTTTAGGTGAAAGGAGAACCCTGTTGACACTCTGAGCTTAATGATCCCTGAGAACTCTCATGTGAACTGAGCAAATGAGACAGAAACATGGCTTTATTAATTGTAGTTATTATCTATCTTGTGATTATTCTTGCTACTTCCCAGTCTTGCCAGGCCCCTGATGACTTTGTGGCTGCCACTTCTCCAGGACACATCATGATTGGAGGTTTGTTCGCCATTCATGAAAAAATGTTGTCCTCAGAAGAACATCCCAGACGACCTCAAATTCAGAAGTGTGTTGGGTAAGTAAAGCCTCAAAAAACACACTTAGTTTTCAAGATTATGTTGTGAGACTAGATCATGTAAAGCACTTACTCATGTTAATATCGAAATTATTTTAACAAAATTTGAACTTACATATTTTGAGTTGCATAGGGATGGTCTTGCAATCCTTTAAAGAGACTTATTAGCCCTATACCCATAGTCAGACAACCTCCAAATGCAGAGATAAAAAATGTTTTATGTTAATGTGCTTTTTGGATTGTGCCTTAAAAAAAAAATCCCTGAAGTGTCACCTAAGAAGACTTTCCTTTACCACACACAAAGATCAGCAAATGTGTTTCCATAGTCCACAACGTGTACTTTGTTTAAAATGTAGTTATATTGTTTAATGCTTTATTTAAAATAGACTCATTTAAATTTATTCTCACGCTAACATGTTTGTCAGCCATGTGTTCATTTCACTCTTGAAATAATCTAATTTTCTGCTGATAAATTATGACCTTCTTTAACTTAAATTGTTCCTTTTTCTTAATGTGCAGTTTGTACCATGAAGCTTAATCACAGAAATGACAGTGGCACAGTGCAATGTGAAAAAGCAAAGTTGGGTGGAGGTGTTAGAAATGGATATTGGAATTCTAACACCAGTTTTAGGACAAATTAGTTTTGCAAAAGTAGGCAAATCAATTAAACTCTTTGGCTTTCAGTTTCCATTTTTTTCATCTGTAAAATAAAAGTCTGATAACTTCTAAAGAAAGATATAGGCATCAGCAGTTTAAGGTGCTCTGGCAACCTGTTTCTAATGTGGAAAATTTGGTTCTGACTTTTAAGTTTAATTTCCTCCTCTCCCTTTCTTCTCCTCTCCTTTCTTTTCCTTTCCTTTTTAGATAGTCTTGCTATATAGCCCAGGCTGGCCTTGAACTGTCAATCCTAGTACCTCAGCCTTCCAAGTGCTGGGATTACCGGTATGCTTGCCTTTTTCCTTTATTTTTTTCAGGATAGGAGTTGTTGGCATTTTAGCTTTCTTTTTCAAAAAGCATTTACTAAGCCTTCTAAGAATGCTAGTGATCCCATGTTACTCTAGATTCTTTCTGGGGTATAATCTTCAGAATTTGAGCACTTTGAGCTGGTTAGCAGGAATACCAAGGAATGGCACAAAATAACTAATGAATACTTTCAGAGCACTACATTGGTATCCAATCTGCAGGGGGTTTTTTGTTTTGTTGCTTCCTTTTTCCAGTCCTGGGGCTTAAACTCAAGGCCTACACCTTGAGCCACGCCACCAGCCCTTTTTGGTGTTGGATTTTTTTCAAGATAGGATCTCACCCAGGCTGGCTTCAAACCAGGGTCTTCCTGATCACTGCCTCCTGAGTAGGTAAGATTACAGACATGAGCCACCTTCGCCCAGCCAATCTGCAGGTTTGAAGCCCACAAAAGTGTAGGCCAACAACTGATGGGAAATACTGAAGAATCATTTATTCTAAAAATGTCCTCTGGGGAACAAGAGAAATATTTTTCATTCAACATTGAACTGCTATTTATTAAGAGCCTACATTATCTGGGCCCTGTTCTAAGCACTCTGGATACTAAAGTAAATAAGAGGTTCTAAATCTAATGGAGCTTATACATAGAGGACTCAGAATACTATGAAGCTTAATATTGAGACAATCTATTAGTTTACCCTTCCTTGTTTGTTTCTTTTTGTAAATAAAAATTATCATGCTGATTTTCTGAACTATGTTTAAACAGTTCACAATGACAAGTAGTATTTGTCAAATAGTTTGTGGTGACTTAATGACCTGTAAGGAACCTTAGAATATTAAAACCCTGAACAAAAATGTCCTACTTTCTGCATTTAAAAAGGATGCAGGGCTGGCAGAGTGGCTCGAGTGGTAGAGCTCCTCCCTAGCAAGTGCAAAGCCCCGAGTTCAAACCCCAGTCCCACACACAAAAAATATTGGGGGGGGAGGGGGGAGAAATGACCCAAACATTGTATGCACATATGAATAAAAAAAATTTTAAAAATAAAAAGGTCGCAATGTATATGTCAGGCACTATTTGTAATCTCTTGCTTTCGGAAGTGGATAAAATAACAGTAAACAGTATTAAACAATAAAATCAAAGTGAAAAAACTCCAAGCTCTGCAATAATCACAAATCAAGAAACATGTTGAAAATTGTCTCTGATTGTGGAAATAGCTGTGTCTGTGAACTAAACTAGTGCGCCTTGTCTAAGGTAAGCTTTTACTCAGAGCCTGTTTAAGTATAATTTGGGGGGATCTGAACTCAGGTCATTGCACTTGCTAAACAGGTGTTCTACCACTTGAACCACACCTGCAGATCCTGTTTAAGTACAATTTAAACTCAGGGCTTTGGACTTTCAATGCAGATGCTATACCACTTGAGCCACATCCCCAGTCCATTTTGCTCTGGTTATTTTGGAGATGGGATGTCAAAAGCTATTTGCCTGGGCTGGGCCTCGAACCACAATCCTCCTAATCTCAGCCTACCAAACAGCTAAGTTTGTAGGTGTGAGCCACCAACACCTGGCTTCTACTTAAGTATAACTGTTATTTATCTAGTGTCCAACCACACAGATTAGAATAAGAAAGCCAGACCATGTCCACTGAGTTCCAGTAGCAAGTACTTTGAAAGCAATAAAATGCTGACATCTAACTACAAAAGGGAACAAAAGTCAGACAAATCTCATATAGCAAAATACTAACCTGAGTGCTCAAAGTTATCTCAAAATTCATCCAGAAAAGGCTATTTCTTGTGCTATAAACTCCACTTAAGAAACTGACTTCTACTATTATCCTTTGTAAAGGTTTCCATCAAAAATTTCCCTTTTCAAAAAATTTTTAAATTTAATTTTTGATTTGTTATACATTAATAATATGAGGGAGTTCATTGTGATAATTCCATACATGTGTAAGGTGTACCTTGAACAAATTTACCCCCTCCATTATATTTCCAAAAAATATTTTCAAATAAAGTTTGTACCCTCCAAGTGATAAGCTTCACATCCCAAAATTGTCTGTTTTAAGGCAGAGATGTAGATAAAATGAAATGCCACCGGATTTATATAGGAGTTATGTTTTGATTTAAAAATACCTTTTTCTCAACAGCTTTGAAATATCAGTCTTTCTTCAAACTCTTGCCATGATACACAGCATTGAGACAATCAATAATTCAACACTGTTATCTGGAGTCAAACTGGGGTATGAAATCTATGACACTTGTACAGAAGTCACAGTGGCAATGGCAGCCACTCTAAGGTTTCTTTCTAAATTCAACTGCTCTAGAGAAACTGTGGCGTTTCAGTGCGACTATTCCAGCTATGTGCCAAGGGTTAAAGCTGTCATAGGTGCTGGCTACTCAGAAATAACTATGGCTGTCTCCAGGATGCTGAACTTACAGCTCATGCCACAGGTAGGCTTTTTGCACTTCCATACATTGGTTTTTATCACATTTATTATTACAAAAGATTCAGGAAAACCTAGAGAAAGTAGTTAAGGAATTGCTTTTACATCACTCAGGTATAGTTTCTGACAATGATTTGGACAAGAAACACACCTCTGAGCCCTCAGCTGCCCTGTTTCCATAATAACATCAGTCAGATGCTATGAAGGAAACTGAAGTGAGGAGTCAGAGGGTTTGGGGTCCAAAGAATACTCCACAGAGAAGTGATATTTAGCCTCAAAATTGAATGAGAAGGATTGGAAGGGAGTTTGGGAGAGGGGAAGACAGTGTCTTATTGAGAAAACACCAAGGGTAATGGTAGAAAAATAACAAAAAGATCAATATAATTAGAACAGTTTGAGCAGAGAGAAAAATAGACACAAGTAAGGACTGTAAGGACTAGGCCATGTAGCATTTTTAAATCTGTGGTATGATTTGTATTTTTTTCAAATGGGATGAAAAAACTTTGAATAGAGATGTAGATCCATCTCCCTGGAATACAAGCCAATAATCTGAAAGTAACAAAAAAAGACCTTGAAAAACCAAAAACAGACATAACTCTCTGGGTTAGTGCTTTCTAAGCTCAAGGCATATTAGTAGTCAAGAGTTAGAAAGGAAAAAAGCTTAGAGTGAGATTATCAAGAAATGACTATCTGATGGAAATGAGCAGATAGAAAAATATATAGCATTAATGAACATGCATAAGAATTCAAAATATATGATTTCCTGGAGTTGTAGTAAATAAGTGCTTATAGTCATAAATAGTTCCATTATAATTTTCCCTAGTGAAGTTAGCAATAATAAATTTAAGTTCAAAATGAAAAGACAAAGGAGAGGGAGATGAAGGAGAATGGTGGAGGGGTTGAGTTCAAATATAATATAGTTGATATATTGTAAGAACTTTTATAAATGCCATAATGTACCCCCACCCAGAACAATAATAAAAAGAAGAAAAAAAATAAGAAAAAAAAGAATTATTTACCAAACACATCAGAGATAGACTTGAGTTCAAAATTTCTACACTGTGTACAATGCTAGGTACTTGGTAAGAAAAGTAGGAAAAATGGATAACCATTGGTTAATGTAAAAATGTAATTAACAAGAATCCTATAATTTTACAGGTAAAGAAACTTTTCCAAATTTATTACAGTTAGGATTCTAACATTTTGTCTGGCTCCAAAGCCTATATTGCCTTTTTTACCATACTATAGTGTTGCCATCAAGCAGTAAGGAAAAAGAAACCATTAGGCTAGTGACATGATACTATTACAGCTATGGAAGGTAATAATTCTCCTTAAAATAGAATCACCAAAGCTATAAATTAAATTTGTTTAATTTAATTTAAATTAGACACATTAGGTAGATCTCCCAAAATGCTGATGCTTATTTGACTAGATCAGAGAGCAGAAAACTACAACCCACAGACCAAATGCAACTGTCAAGCTTTTGAGCTGTCAAGCTAAGAATAGATTTTTTACATTTTTAAGAAGGTTATAACCAAAAAAATGCAATAAAGAATATATGACAGAGACCATAGGTAAACAACAAAGCTTAAAGTATTTTGTTTCTAGTCCTTTGCAGAAAAATTTTTGGCCACTGGATGTTTATTTGACTGGATTGTTTTATGTAGAATAAAATTATCAAAGTTGTGAATTTAACAAGTTTTTTTTTTGTTTTGGCAAACCCCAAAATGCATTTTGCTTATTTGACTGGATTCCTTTTATCTATATTTAGCTCTAAATTTAAAAAATAATATCCACTACTGGCCCTGTCCAAAGATTTAAGATATATATGAATGGTTGTAGTGATGTAGACAGAAACATAAGATAGAGCCTGAACTCTTGAAGGACTTCTACTATACACAATTCAAAATGATGAGAAAGCAATGGCTTTAACCAGCATTCTTAGGTACTAATGATCATGATTTAAGAAATTCATAAAGAAAGAAAGAAATTCATAAAGTAGGGATTCAAGATAGAAAGACCAGAGAATTTAAGAAGAGGTTATAGGAACCTTTTGAAACCAAAGTGAGGAACGCCTACCACAAGCAGACACCTGGACTTCATCAACACCATAACTAAAAGATTCCATCCATTTCCAGGTGAGTTATGAATCAACCGCAGAAATCCTAAGTGACAAAATGCGCTTCCCTTCATTTTTACGTACTGTACCCAGTGATTTCTATCAAACTAAAGCAATGGCCCACCTGATTCAGAAATCTGGATGGAACTGGATTGGCATCATAACCACAGATGATGACTATGGACGATTGGCTCTCGACACTTTTGCAATTCAGGCTGCAGCAAATAATGTGTGCATTGCCTTCAAAGAGGTTTTCCCAGCTGTTCTTTCAGCTAACACCATCGAAGTCAGGATCAATCAGACACTTGAGAAAATAATTGCAGAAACTCAGGTTAATGTCATTGTGGTATTTCTGAGGAAATTCCATGCTTTCAGTCTCTTCCATAAAGTCATTGAAAGGAATATAAATAAGATCTGGATTGCTAGTGATAATTGGTCAACTGCTGCCAAGATCATCACCATTCCTGACATTAAAAAGATTGGCAAAGTCGTGGGCTTTACCTTTCGAAGAGGGAATATGTCCTCTTTTCATTCCTTTCTTCAAACTCTGCATATGTATCTCAATGATAACAATAAACCCCTACGTGAATATGCCATGCTTTTTTCTGCCTGTGAGCATGTTAAAGACAGTGAATTGAGTAAATGCATTTCCAACTATTCTCAGGAGAGTTTGACCTACGAAGCTAACATGACTATGAAAAGAGTATCTTCATGAGAAACGACTTCCTTGGGCAGTATTCAGAGCCAGGACTCATTCACAGCATCCAGCTTGCAGTGCTTGCCCTTGGTTATGCCATTCGGGATCTGTGTCGAGTTCGAGACTGCCAGAACCCCAGCACCTTTCAACCATGGGAGGTACTAGTTCATACATCTAAGAAAATTTCCCTACTATCTTTCTCCTATTCCTTTCATTGTCTTATTTTGCAAAGTTTTATGCTTATTGCTCTTGATCTTATTCCTTTTATAAACAGAAACTATCAGTGTTTGAATAACCTGAATTTCTATAATAGCTCTTTATTCTTGATCAGACTGGTGGAGTAGCTCAAGTGGTAAGAGCTTAGCAAGCATGAGGCCCTTATTTCAAACCCCAGTGTCACCAAAAAAAAAAAAAAAAGTTCTTTTTTTTTTTTGCCAAGAAGATTCTGTTGACAGTGCTATCTTCCTTGAGTTTATGGTTTTTTAATGTCTCATATAAATTAATTATTTAATGCTGTTAACCAGGAGAATTAGAACATATAAGATTAATGATCCTTTTCATTATCACTAAATATAATGAAGTATCCCTTACCTAAAAAGTTTGTGATTTTTGGATTTTTTTCAAATTTTGAAATATTTACATATACATAATGAGATATCCTGGAGATGGGACTCAAAAATTCATTTATGTTTACATATTTCATACAATATTTTCAGGGCACCTGCCATATAACTGCAAAGTCAGGTGTGGAATTTTCCACATGTGGTGTTATATTGGTGGTCAAGAAGTTTCAGATTTTGTAGCATTTTGTATTTCAGATTTTTGAATTAGGGATGCTCAACCTGTATTATGAATGACGAAACTAACGGTAGGAAGTACCATAAATATGACTCCAATCTGGGACTTCTGACTCCATTCCCTTTGTTTTTCATTGTGTCACCCCAGTTAGACTCACTTATTTATTTCATAGAACTTTTGTCTTCTTCAAGGGAATGTTGTCAGGTCAATGTTCCATGGAGTGTTAGGTCAGTTATGATACTCTAGGTTTAAATGAACCACCAACCATGGATAAAAGAAGCGTTTCCCTTTCTTCTCTTTGATTAGTTTGGAGAAAGTGAAAGCTTAGTTTAGCTTTATTTAGTGAAAAATAACCCTTAGTGGAGTGGTTCAAGTGGTGGAGCATCTGCCTAGCAAGCATGTGGTCCAGAGTTCAAATTCTAGTATTGCCAAAAAAAGAAAAGAAAAATATCCATTATATTTTCTAAAATGCCCATAAACAATGCATCTAAAAGTAAAATGCTTATTTTAATTATGGTAAGTATTTTACTAATTAGAAACAAATTTCTTATAATGTATATTTAAAACCAAAGTTGTATATCATGAGGCAGAATGATATTACAAAAATACATGTATTTTATAAAGAAGGTAAAGGAGTACGACTCAATTCTTCTGCTCACATAATCACATAATTGGATATCCGGAACAGGTTATTTTCTTTTGATTTTTTTTTTTTGGCACTGGAATTTAATCCAGAGCTTTGCACTTACTAAACACAAGACCTACACTGAGATATACCCCTAGACTGTGTCATTTGGACTTTAATCAACCACAAACATAACTCCCAGTGTCTCAGGTGGACAGCTTACATTTTGATGGATTATGTCTTTAAATTTTATTTATTTTTATTTTAAATTGAGTCACAATTATTGTACATATGTAAGGGGTATATATTGCTCATTTTCAACTATTTTCACTTTGTAAATGCAAAGCCAAAAGTCAATGGAAATATAAGACCAGTGATTATCTTTTTTAAAATTAATTTTCTCCTTTAAATAACACATTTATAGGTCTAATGGTTTTATTTTTGTTTATCTATGTATTTATCTATTTTGAGCCTTTCTACCTAGCCAGGCTGCCCTCAAAATCATGATCTTCCTGTCTCAGCCTCCTGAATGCTGGCATTGCAGCTTGCATAACCATTGCCCAGCCTTTCCTAATGATTTTTAAATTTTTACTTGAAAGTACTCCATTTGTAGTATAAAACTTTAATGAGGGATTGGAGAAAATCATAATCTTTTTAGATTGCTATTCTTCTGCTCCAAATTCAATATAACATTTTGTAATACATTTCAACACAGTGGGTCTGGTGCATTGCAAAAAAATGCTTTTTAGTTTAAAAGTGGGCTACCATAGTGAAATCACTATGTGGAATTTTAGGAATGAGAGATTGAAAAAGAGAAATGGAGAATAGTTTTAGAAACAGATGGGAAAAGAGGGAGAAGACAGCAGAGACTCATAAGGATAAAGGAAATCAAAGAAGAAGAGCTATTTATCCACTAAAGATCTGGGAAAGTATTTTAAATCAGGACTATATCTCAAACATTTTGAAGAAATTACTTGAGAGGGCATAATGTAAATATTCTAAAATGTTTTATTTATGCTCTAGGAGCCTGGGGTCATTCTTGATGCCCTTAAGAACCTGTTTATCTAAAAATAAACAGAAACAGATTAGCAAAGAGAAATAGTGGTGACTTGCTCCTTTGATCATTTTGTAAGTGAGTTGCATCCAAGCAGTGCCAGATTTAGTCAGACAAATAATTCATGACTAAAATCTTCATAAGACATTAAACTTTGAAAAGCAACATTTAGGATTCCTAATCAAGGATATATTATTCCTAAGGATTAAAACTTTGTCCCTAAGTAATATTCACTAATATTAAACAATACTTTCTGAATGATTTTAGATTTCAATAATTTAAAGGGGTTAGTTGCTCCTAGTGTTTGAGGATTATAAGTGCTTTGATTCTGTATTTGGTGATATTTATGAGAAGTATTTGGAAATAGCAAGGTCACACTGATTTTACTTCATCACATTTTTTAAATGTTTTTCAGATATGTATAAGAATATCACTTCTTTGTCTTGGCTAGTGGTTTTTGGTTTTTGTTTACTCCTGAAAATACATAAGCCAGTATATTTCTTATGATGAGATGAGAAATGTCTAATAGTCAAAATTCTATTTCTATGTTTATTTAGCAAATATGTGTTGCTCTCTTAATGTTTCCAGAATTGTGTTGAGTGAGTGCTGAAGATACTGTGCAGAACAAAAAAAGATTTCCCTCTTTCTAAATAGAGTCATCTGTTTAGTGTGGCAAGCAATAAAATGATTATGGAGCTGAATATAATACAGAATGATGCATTAAAATGTTTCAAACAAGTACAAGATACCAGAGAATCCCATAACTCAGGCATCTAGACCAGAATTGACAATTCAGAGAACATTATCCAGATTATATGTCATCTATTAATGGATGGATAAGAGTTAGCTAGGGCAGAAATAATCCAGCAAAGTCCCAGAAAGGAGAGAAAGCACAGCATCTTTGGAGAGCAGAAATAATGTCATAGGACTGGAGTCTTGTGTGGAATCTGTAGACAAAGGAGTCTGGAGGAGGAATTCAACAAGGATGCCCTTGTTGATTATGGCATCTCAAAATTTTGGTGTTCAGTCGAATTACCTGGGAATCTTATTATGGAGATGCCAATTCAGTAATTCCAAAACAAGTGCTGGAAACCTGTATTTCTAACAATCTCCCAGGTGATATTCACACTGCTGGTCTAGGTACCAATTTTTATATAAAAAGATTACAAGTTATGTTTAGGGTTTGGACTTTAGAGAACAACAGGGAGCCAATTAAAGATTTTTTTTTGCAACACTGATACAAATGACAATTGTATAATAGACAGGAAATATACAAGATTATTCTTTGTTTATATAAGTCCTTGGAGTTAAAACAATGTAGCAAATAATTAAAATCACTAAATTCATTCAAAACTACAGTTGTACACCAAGGCAAAGCCCAAGCAAATGAGAGGGTAAGCAGAAGAAAGAATTAAGGGTTAGAAAGAACATCAGACAGAGGTGCCATGGGGCTTACAAACTGACAATTAATACAGCAAAAAAATACTGTAGGCAACCAAGTGATAGGATATGTTTTCCATTACAGAAATAGCATTCCAACTGCAGTATGAATTGATTAGAGGAACACAAGATTGAAGAAAGAAGGGCCAATTTGTTAATCCAAGCATAAGAATGTCTTCTACATTTTTGACAATAAGGATGGAGAGACGTATATTTGGATATTTAAAAGGATAAATGAGGAACATTTGGAGATACACTGGATATGGAAAGGACACACAGAGAATAGCAAAGATGTTGCAAATGATTCCAAATTTAAGCAACTGATGCCACTTGTTGAAGTGGAAACACAGAGAAAAGTGGAGGTCAGGATGGGAGAAGAAATAAGCATTCCAGTTTGGAGATGTTGAGTCTGAAGAACATAGGGACTCACAACAGTTTATAAGAAAGGTCCTTGAAAATAAAGTTTTGTTCCATGTTATCCACATAGTTAGCAGGGAAATGGTTGCATGCTTAGTTCAATGTGTTTTCTGCTATGCCACAGAAAACTTCACTAAAGAAAAAAACATGGCATGAGCACCAGGACAAAGATGTAAGGCTGTTTGCTATGTTGTTCTCTAATTTTGTCCCATAGGTACCTCTTCTCCACAAGCTAACTCACTAATGGAGATGGGGCAGACATCAAAGAAGTTAGAGAAATTCAACACAAGATCAACCACGACACCTTAACTGGTGTGGCCTAAAAATGGGATATTATCAATTATATAACAATTGAAATTCAAATTCCAGTTTTTAAATTTTGTAGGGTCAACTCATAAAGTTCAGAGTCCCCACTGAAAAAAATTAAATGATGGAAAAATTTAATAGCTTAATAACTAGAGTGTTCGTGTTCAAATTTTACCTTAATCCAAAGCAAATGTTCTACTATATTTAATGAGTAATAAATGTACTGGTTTATTTGCCTCTATCCTCTTTCCTGTAAGAACAAGCATAAAATTCTGCAAGTTTATTTACCTTATACAATGTTATCATTATTTACAGAACAGACATGTGTCAGAACTTTACCCTGTAAAACCTAATTAAATGCAGGAAAAAACAGGTGGAAATTATAGTTCAAACACAAGAGTGGAAGAGGATGTGTTCCCTAAAGAACAGAATTTACTGTAGCTTAAGGAAGGGACAGAATTGAAAGCATACCTAAGAAGAAATAAGAATATTGAAAGCAGACCTTTGCCTACTTTTTTTGTTTGTTTCCATTTTTTTCTTCCAGGCAATGTTAGAACGATATCCTTTTGGTTATTTCTCCCATGTTAGATCCGATATTCTGCTTTTTGTGTGTGCATGCGGTACTAGAGATTGAACTCAGGACCCTGAACTTGCAAAGCAAGTGTTCTACTACTTGAGCCCACACCACGGATGTGATATCCCCTACTTCCCCTACTTCAAATTAATTAAATTAAATTTGTTAAAAGAAGTAATAAATCTGTGGAAACTGTAATAAAATCAAGGTACACACTTAATATTTTGCTAAAAGGACATTTGGTCATTTGTGTGACTATTGTAGCTAATATATTTACCTTAAAATACAACTTTATTTTCTTATATTCTATGACAAAAATGTTTTTGAAAAGGTTTATTGAAAAGGAATAGAGTAGAATAATTCTGCTCAGAGAGAATAATTTCTGCCTCATTCCACAGATTTTTTTTCATGTAACCAAAAACTGTGTTTTCATTTTATGTATGAGTTTACACTTCATTTTCTTTCTATAGTTACTGAAGTGGCAAAAACATGATACATTTTGACATCATCCAAAGGTGTTTACCTATCTTTTGACATGTTCATTTGATGGGTATTTTATAATATACACACAAACATATTTGGTGATCAGCTATTTGCATTTTCTCTTAATTAGAAATTATTCATTATTCCATGGATTTTTAATCCACAACACCACACAGAAGCATAGACTTGGGTAATGAGTGGCCCATATGAGTGCATCCAGAGAGTGTATTTACTTAATTTACATATCAAGGTAATGATGGGGCCACAACTGTGACCTGTTTTCCATCTCCGACTCCAGAATTCTTCCTCTACAGCACAAGCTCAATGTGTCCACCTCATTTGCCAGCAAATCCTTTCCTGTTTTAATGCTATTATATACCATTTCTTCCTATTCAAATTGAGTAACAAGGCTGGGTACAGTGGCTCACGCCTGTAATCCTAGCTATTTGGAAGGCAGAGATCAGGAGGATCACAGTTTGAGTCCAATCCAGACAGAAAAGTTAACAAAACCACCATTTCAATCAATGACTGGGCATGGTGATACATACCTGTTATCCCAGTTACATGGGGAAGCACAAATAGGAGGATCATAGTCCAGGCCAGTCCAGGCATACAGTGAGAGGCCCAGAGTTCAACTAATAATACTGTCAAACAAACAAACAAGAAATTTGGTATTAAGACAAGTAATTTTTCATTACATTTCTTTCCTTATAAGAAAAATCATTTGATATTAAATTAGAAATAGAATCTAGAGATCACTTTACTATGACCACAATCACTAAAAGAAACTTAGGACCATCATGATAGAAAGTCATTCTAGTCATCAAGATTGCACCACTAATGAGGAATGGAACCAGAATGAGGGCCCAGGTGTCTGCTCCAAGGGACTCATTATGAAATTCTGCAACATGAATGCATGCAGATGTTCAGACTTTGACTTTATAGTATAGAGAAGCTAACACCTATAGAAATTAACTTGCTTTTTCAATTTCACATAGTAAAACTTTGCCAGAGATGAGATGCAGAACCGAAGGGGAACTCATGCTCTTAGCTAGATGATAAGCATCCCCCAACAGTGAATCAGAACCTTTCTTATTTCTGGTTTATATAAGTGGTATTCCTTACCAGGCAGTGTTATAATTGGGATAAAGGGTAAACATACTGTGTTTCTATTCAGTATTTATTTCCACTTTTATTTTTTACAGTTACTTGATGTGCTGAAAAATGTAACATTCACTAATGGAAGGAATTCATTTCATTTTGACACTCATGGGGACTTGAACACTGGGTATGATGTTGTGCTGTGGAAGGAGATTGATGGCCACATGACTATTGTAAAGATGGCAGAATATGACCTGCAGAATGATGTCTTCATCATCACAAACCAAGAAACAAAAAATGAGTTCTGGAAACTTAAGGTAATTTTACTGTAAGCTGCTTTGCAGCATTTAAAACCTGTACCTCATCTACAAAAGTCCTTCTTCCTATTAGGACCCTCATTGACCCTTTTACCTGTTCAATGTTCCTCCTTGTATTCCATGGTCAACTCATGTAAAACTCTTGCACATGTCCTCTGCTCCCTTTCTTCTCTTTCCTTATTATACTCATTCAATCAATTCAATGTTGGTTAAGTAATTCAACTCTGTGTCTAATCAGTGTAACTCCTATGCAGCTAAACTTGGAGGAAAAAAATGAAAATCTTGCTCACTGGTCTCACTAAATTTATGATCTCTAACTGCAGATGGGCCCTTAATGCTACTGGGTAATCAGACTTCTGCCCTAGCCCACTACTTGCTCACCTTGCTAGATAGATACTTTATACTTTCTCCTGTCTCCTCTGACTTCAATATATCTTGTTCATCCTCACTTTCAGTTAATACTACTTTCTCTTCTGTTAATAAAACTGTAACAATCAGAAAAGAACACCCATGTTCCCCTGAAGCATGTCTTTGCCCATGTCCCTACCTTTCATCTGGCACTATTGAAGGCCTGCCTGTGCTCCTAGCCAAAATCAGCTCCTCCACTTGACATTTGGGTTCCAATCCCTTCACTTAATCAAGGATCTCATTCACTCTCAACTTTACCCTATTTCCTGCATCCTCAATTATTCTCTCTTCTTCTTTTTTCTCCCATCTTAAAAAGAAGAAAGAAACTCCATAGAGTCTCCCATGTCCCCCCTCTATTTACTATCTGTGGCTCTATTTTTCTTTATAGCAAAACTCCTTGAAAAAGTTGAATACATTCACTGGCCACAAATCTTCTCCTCCCATACTATTTAGAACTGTATTTAATGCATCAGAGTAGTTTGTTTAGATTGAGTGTGGTGGCTCAAGCCTGTAATCTTATCTACTTGGGAGGTGGAGATCAGAAGAATCATAGTTCAGAGCCAGCCTGGGCAAAAAGTTCTGGAAACCTCCATCTCAACCAAGGGCTGGGTTCAGTGGTATGTACCTGTCATCCCAGCTTCACAGGGAAGCATAAATAGGAGGATCATGGTGAGGCCAGCCTGGGCATAAAAATAACCAACACAACAAGGGCTATAGGAAGGACTCAAGTGGTAAAGTGCCTGTCAAGTAAGCATGAGATCCTGAGTTTAACTGTCAAAAAAAGAAAGGAAGGAAGGAAGAAGAAAGAAAGCAAGAAGACAGACAGAAAGAGAGAGAGAGAAAGAGAGTTTATCTAGCTCACTCATATAAATCTAGCCATTTTTCTTTTACCAGCCATTTAGTCCATCCTCCATAAAAACCTGCTTTATTTGTTTCTACAACACCACACTCCCTTTATTTTCTTCCTGTGTCTTTAGTCACTGTTTCCCTACCTCCTTTGTGCTTCCTTATCTTTCCTACTACCTCTAAACACTATAGTAAGCAGGACTCAATATTGCTTTTTCTTTCTTTCTTTCTTTTTTGTTTTTGTTTAGTGATCCTATTAGGCTTATCGTTTTAAATAATGTCATTATATAGAAGACTGACTCCAAGATTTTTATCTTCTGGCTTCCAACCCAAATGAATGCATAGTTGCCTTACTGACATCTGTGTCTGGATGTCTAATGATCATCTTAATTTAATATCTCAAAAATAGAACTCCTAATATTTCCACCTGAACCTATCTTCATCTCAGTAAATGACAACTCTCCTTTTTAAATTGCTTATAAAAAGTCCTGCTGGGATCCTTCTCTTTCTATCACACTGCATTGAAACTTTAACTTTCAAAATATGTCCTTTCTGATGGTCACACCTTGCATTCCAAGGATATAGTAAAAATCAATATCTGAGATCATTTGGTCATATTTCAAGAACTATTTGTCAATTTACAGGTTAGTTGGGGTATCAGTATTTCTGATAAATTACCAAAAATCCCAGTCTAAAACATCAAATAACCTTAAATCCACTTATATTCCAAAGGTAACCATAAAAGACTTTAAAATGTCTTTATCATCTCTCGATGTAGAAAGAGACAGATAGGACTGGGTTGCTGGGAAGGAAGGCTGCACTTTCGTCCCCTAACAATATCTGGTTTTATCAAATAGTTTAATCTCCGTGGTCTCTGAGAACTCTCCAGGAGAAAGGATACTTCAGATTAAAAGTCTGTCTAGGGAATCCTTGAGGCATATCTACTTCCTGCTGAAAATCCAGGTCAGCAATAACTATGTTGAGATAAGACAGTCAGTGCCATGGACACAAGACTACAAATCTTGGCTGCTTTTCACTTTCTTCCAGGATATTTTCAACTTCCAGAGAAAAGACTGGTTGGCTTAGCACTTTGTGTTCCAGACTCAGCAATAGCTGTTCAGAGGATTTTGAGAAAGCCTCTGTTAACCATTCTGATCTGGCTTCCCAAGGGTAAAAGTGAAACAATAACACAGATTTATGTCACAAGATGTACTACTGTGAGTGAAAAATAACATAGATGAACAGTAGAGCATTTCTAGGTGTATAAGAAGCCCAGAGGTCTTAAACTGGCAGAGGCTACTATGGGAAGGGGACCAGGAAATAGCAAAGAGGTCTGGTAGAGATGAACCACTGTGGGTTGCAACATACAAGCAAATGGAAGCAATGCTAGGAATCTCTCTGTATAGCTATCTTTACCTCAAACAATCAAAAACACCATGGCTTTCTCATTATCTCTTCTGTTTTCTCTTCAACAAAATCAGAGAACAATAGGGTGCTACAGGTTCTGCCTGGAAGGGGGCGGGGGAAGCAGGAGGATGGGGGAGGTGGCCCAAATAATGTATACACATGTAAGTAAATGTAAAAATGATAAAATAAACAAAAAACAAATAAAAAAGCAGCATAAGGGTCCATAAAAGTAGAATGTTGCATGTGATTCACATTGTAACATGCAGAATTATAAGCTAAACTCAGCATAATTTAAATATTATCTATGTAAGAAAAAGTGGTATATTTACATGATGGAATATTATTCACACATAAAAAGAATGAAATCCTGTTATTTGCCAGAAAATGGATAGAATGTTACGTTTAGTGAAATAAGCCGGACACAGAAATACAAGTACCATACGTTTTACCTTAAATTTGGAAGCTTCCTATGCCCACCCAAATGTAGAATAGTGATTTCTGGAGGTTGGGAAAGGTGAATAGGAAGTGGGCAAAGGTAACTGGAATTTGATTAGTGCACACTATATGCATGAATTGAAATATCACACTGAGCCCTAGTACTATGTGCAATTAATGCACAAAAATATTTTTTAAATAAATATTATCAATATATTTTGTGTTATCTTTTAAACTAGCATTCTAATAGATTTAACTTTAAAATATTCCATTGTTTTGTTTTTCAGGGGTAGATTGGATATGTTCTTTAGATGGCATGATATGAACTTCTAAAAAACATAAAGTTTAATAATTTACTATTTTCTTATGTAGTGGAACTTTTTATTCAGCATGGGATCGGACATTTCTAAGCCATCATTTCTTTTTTTGGTTCTACTATTACATATTTCTCCTACTGCTGGGAATGATGTGAAAGAGCTAATTTCTATAACTTGCTTATAGAAATTTACAAATGTCACAAAAAATGCGTTCCATCCAAAGCAGTTTCTTCATCTGAAACATTTTATGTATTTTAAGCTTGCTCATATTCCTTAAGACAGCAAAAAATAAATCTTTAAAGATATAAAAAAAACCCAATATAGTATTTAGCAAATATTTCCTTAAGTTAAGTCAAGGACAATTAGGACCATTCTTTCTAAAAATCTATTTGAGATTTCTTTTCATTTTGAATATAGCAAATTCTATCTAAATGCTCCAAAGAATGCAGTCCAGGACAAATGAAGAAAACTACAGGAAGTCAGCACATCTGCTGCTATGAGTGTGTGAGCTGTCCTGAAAACCACTACAGTAACCAGACAGGTAACACAGCCACTACAGTATCACAGACACCTGGACTATTTCTCTTAAACTGATTTTTTTCTGTGCATAATCTCTATTTTTTCATTTGAAAAAATAAGAAAGCATCCCATGATCCTATAGATTGAACTCCAGTGAAATTTCATTTTACCCTTGGAAACTGCTCTATTATGGCAACAGAGGCATGGCAAATAAATAATAGAAATATAAGAGTAATTTCACTTTCAAGGGAAAAATGTCATTCCCCCATGCATGCTTCCTTGCCAGCAACTCTTAAAGCAATACAAAGTCTTTGTCAATATTGCCCATGTATCCATCCCTATACAGACATACCTGACATATAATTGGGATACAAGAAGTACAAATAAGTCAACTCTGGATTAACTACACTGAACATAATAGAAACCCAGAGGCAACTAGAATTGAGAAGCAGACATGCATATTCAGGAGATCTTAAAATTCCTACCAAGTTGCAAAAGTTAAGTCTAAAAAGAAAGAGACTTCTGTGGGACAAGGGGACCAACTATTGACAGAGATGCAGTGCTAGCAACTGATTATTTGTCAACCGTGTGTTTATCAATGTGACAAGACCAGAGCAAAAAACACAAATAAAGTGCAAGAATGAGGTCAGCAGCTGTAAGAGCCCTTGAAGGAACTGTCAACACTTTCTCTGGGTAAGCCTACTTTACAAGCATCATATTCCTCCAAGAGCCTGGGAGTCAAAGCTGTTCCCAGCCCCGTTGCCTGTTTTCTCTTTTCTTTCAACATGACAGATGTTCCTATGTTCTTACCCCAAGGACTTCCTGGCAGGTGGAGTGACTGCAGCCATTTCCAAGGCTGAAGTAGCATCCATTAAGTTGATTAAGCTGCTGCTGTATGTGCAGCATGCCAGCAGGCAAATCACTGCAGACAGGCAATACCAAGGCATTAGAGACTGTTTGGTTCAGGTCCCCAAGGATCAGAGAGCCCTGTCCTTCTATAGTGGTAACCTGGCAACATCATCAAATACTTCCCTACCCAGGATAATAAATACAAGTAGATCTTTCTGGGTGGTGTGGACAAAAGGACCCAGTGTGGCACTGGAACAGTGCAGGGAACCTGGTACCAGATGATGCCACTGGGGCTACATCCTTGTGTTTTGAGCACCATCTTGGTTTTGTCCATTACCTATCTAGCAGCTGTTGTGGGCAAAACCAGAGCTGAAAAGGAATTCAAAGACCTCAGCCATGTCCTGGTCAGGATGTACAAATCTGATGAGATTAAGGGTCTGTACCATGTACAGGGTATTATTATCTACCAAATTGCCTACTTCAGTATCTATGACACCACAAAGAGAATCCTTCCAGATCCCAAATATACTCACATCTTCATCAACTGGATGAGCACCCAGTCTGTCACTGCCATTGCTGGCTTGGTTTCCTATCTCATTGACCCTGATCCCTGCCACATGATGAGGCAGTCAGGGTGCGAAGATACTAATACCACACACACAGGTCTGCTCGAGTGCTAAAGGAAGATTGCTTGTGATGGTGGAAGTTTTCTCAAGGATGCATGGTTCAACATTCTCAGAGGCATGGTTGGGGGATGCATGGACCCTAGAGCTGGAATAGTCCCCAAATACATATTCTTTTTTCTTACTGACTTCAAAGGAGAAGGATAGCAGTAAAAATATTCCAGATTTCATGTTCTATCATTGCTTGATAACGCTTTGCAGGAAAAGCTAGGGGTTAGTGTAGCCTAAAAGGGCACCATCTATCCTGTACATCTCTATCACATGGTTCTCACACATGGACAAGACCAAAAAATGTCCATTGAATGAATGACATTAGCAGCTATGGTTAAAGGAAAACAATGAATGGGTATTGGTAGGGAAATTGAGTTTGAAAAGAGGAAGTTGGAAAGGTCATGAAGTTTATAAATGAAAATACCACTTCACTTTGAGATTAATAAAAAGAACACAGAAATTTAAAAAAATTGAATAAACACTTTCAACAATCCTGGAATATAATCAGGTGGATGCCCTGAGAGAGGCTTTTTGGAAGCAGTTGGGACCTATCATCCCAAAGGGCTTGGAATGGGGAGTAAATGCAGTCCACTCCCAGACTCTATTCTGTCATCAGTTATTCATACTGCCCTGCCATCCAAATCAGCATAAATATCATTCAAATTCATCACTGACAATATGAGAGGCTCAAGTTTACTAAAATCCTTAGGGGAAAAATAAATTTTAAGTCTTCATCAACTGTCATTTCATTGATTACAATCTCATGTTATCTCAATTTTACAAAGAGACCTTAAGTTTTTAGGGTGACTTAGCCATACTGACTCTGCTTTTAAGAAGCTGAAGACTTATTCATAATAAGAGCTCCCACATATTGCAGTGTTCTGAATATGACACCTCAATAGGGCAACACACTTTTTTTTGTTTTGTTTTGTTTTTTGAGAGAGAGAAAGAAACTTGGAAATAGTCCCAGAAAGTTCAGTTTCAGGTAGCATATTCAAGATTACAGAAATCGTAAGTGTAAAGAAAGGGACTTGAGCTATGTCTGAGGTTCCACATTTTTATTCTTGAGGAATAGAATAACTCTCTATTAGAAAGTTGTAAGACTCTCCTGTCTCTCCTGGGTATATAGGTCTCCTAAGGACTCCTAGCACAGCTGGTCTTTTGTCTTTCTCTTTTTTTCTTATTCCCCTCTTTCTCTTCCCTTATCTTTACCTTTCTCTCTGACTTTCTTTTAGGCCTGTTTTATTTTAATAAGTAACCAATGTGACAACAACCTATACCTGTTTTCTAGTCAGAACTAGTACTGCAGAAGTCTCATTTGTAGTATTGTGGACAATCACCTAGTTTAAATGTTTGCAATGTAACTGAATCTTCTCTGCCTTTTAGATATGGATCGCTGCCTTTTATGCAACAACAAAACTCACTGGGCCCCTGTAAGAAGTGCTATGTGCTTTGAAAAGGAAGTGGAGTATCTCAACTGGAACGACTCCTTGGCTATCCTGCTTGTGGCACTCTCCCTACTGGGAATTACGTTAGTTCTGGCCATTGGCATAATATTTACAAGAAATCTGAACACTCCTGTTGTGAAATCATCTGGGGGATTAATGGTCTGCTATGTGATCCTCCTCTGCCATTTCCTCAACTTTGCTAGCACAGGCTTTTTCATTGGAGAACCACAAGACTTCACATGTAAAACCAGGCAGACACTATTTGGCGTGAGCTTTACTCTCTGTGTCTCTTGCATTTTGATGAAGTCCCTGAAAATTTTGCTAGCTTTCAGCTTTGATCCAAAATTGCAGAACTTCCTGAAGTGCCTATATAAACCAGTCCCCATTGTCCTCACTTGCACTGGCATCCAGGTGGTCATTTGCACACTGTGGCTCATCTTTGCAGAACCTGCTGTGGAGGAGAATATCTCCTTGCCCAGAATCATTATCCTGGAATGTGAGGAGGGATCCATACTTGCATTTGGCACCATGCTGGGCTATATTGCCATCCTGGCCTTCATTTGCTTCATAATTGCCTTCAAAGGGCGGAAACTACCTGAGAATTACAATGAAGCCAAGTTCATAACATTTGGCATGCTTATTTACTTCATAGCTTGGATCACATTCATCCCTGTGTATGCTACCACATTTGGCAAGTATTTGCCAGCTGTGGAGATTATTGTCATTTTAATATCCAACTATGGGATCTTGTGTTGTACATTCTTTCCCAAGTGCTATGTTATCCTTTACAAACAAGAGACTAACACAAAATCAGCCTTTCTCAAGATGATTTATAGTTACTCCTCTCATAGTGCAGACAGCCTGGCCATGAGTCATGTTTCAATGGACTCCATTAATGACAATATCACAATGACCAATCCCAGCCTTGGTGACAAGTCTGCAGCCTTGCAGAAAGACAAAGATCTTCAAGAACAAACACTTGCACACATATGCAGAGAAAATTCTGCAAATGTGTCTAAAACTTTGCCTCGGAAAAGAATTTCAAGTATATGATTAGCCATTAGGAGATAACACATTCCTGAGTAAAATGTTTCTAGCTCTTTGAATCAAAGATATGTATTTACCTACCCATATCACTTGTGCGTCTTTACTGCCATCATCTTCAATTTTGCTTCAATAGTGTTTGGTCCCCTTTGTTGCTTTGTCTTTCTTGACTTGACTCTTAAATGTGAATATTCCCCAGATTTCCACCTTCAACCAACATCTCTTCTTTTAATGCACTCTCTTACTATAAAATATTTCCCATTTCCATGTGTTGACTTTGACCCACACAACATTTAGAATCACAACTCTGGCCCAGGTCACTCTCCAACCAACCCATTTGCTTGTCCCTCTGACACATCAAAGTCAATGTACCCAAAATACAATTCATTTTTTGCTTCCTCCTAATTTCCTCCTCCTCCTGTTTTTCATTTCTTAGGATGCTGTACCACCTTTGGATTAATTGGGATCCTGGGATTCATTCTTGACTTTCATTGTCCACTTCAGCCTTTCTACACCTTTAATTTATCATTTGTCTTTTGTTTTCTAACTCTTACATTTTCTGAAAATGTTGCCATGATTTCTCCCTATCGTCACATCCTTAATCCAGGCCTCCATCATCTCTTTCATAGATTGTTGCCAACAGATTCTGGTCTCAAATATTTTACTCTAAACATAGAGGAGTTCTTGGTAAACTTTGTATTCACTTCCATTACATCTATTTAATCTATTTCTATTGAAAAAAAAAAACTCTTCTTGTAAACTCAATTATTTCAAACCTGAAACAGGTCAGAACTCCTTGTCCTAATGCACAGGTTCGAGGTAAGCACCAATTCCCATCCCTTTCTTTTTGATGCAGTATCCTTCAGAAATAGCAAATTACTTATGCCTCAGAGCCTGGACTCTTCTCTGTGTTTTCTTCTCTTCTCTACACATTGTCTTCCTGAAAAACTCTACCTAAATCCACTAGACATGATACAAGTGTCTCTTCTTCTATGAAGGATCCTTTCTACGCTTGTCATAGCACTTATTACACTTCATTGTATTCATTTGTTTTTATCTTAATTTATTCAGCAAACATTTATTGAGTGCCTATATGTACCAGGCATAATTCTGTGCTTCAGAAAAACAACAACAAAAAAAGACAAATTGCTCACAGGAGGTTTACATTCTAGTGTTTTCATCTTTTGCAATAAAGTCAGTTATTTGGAAGCAGTTCGTTCAACTTCTCTTTCCTTTCTACTCCCATAGTACTAGCACTACCACTGCTATTAGGACTTGATACCTCTGGGGCTGAGTCCATGCTAGCTGCTTACCTGATTCCACACAGATCAGTCCTTCTGAAGATAGTTCTAATATTACAATTCTCCTATTCAGGAAAATTTAATAACTTCCTATTGCATTCACAATTAAGTTTCCCTACCATGCTAAACAAGACTGTTTTTTTAAGACAAAAATCAAACAAGAGATTAATCATGGTTTGTTGCTCAGCCTAAGTTTATTAACATATGATGTAGCATTATCTCATAAAATTGTTAAAGGGGTAAAATACTCTGATCAACTTAAAAATCTCAAAAATGACTCTTCTGTTTGTGGTTTTATTGACTCATTTCTCTGTTGATATGAAAACAGTTTCTCTTATTGACACGACAGCAAAGCTGCAGGAAAATTTCCAGGTTTTTGAGTGTGGTCATACAAAAGAAAACTCCAAGCTGGTTTGGCTAATAGAATAATGAATGAAACATTGTTTCATAAGAGTTGAGAGTTTTACTAGAATTACATAGATTTCAATGATTATTCCAAAAGAGGAAAAATGCTACTTAATGTAAGAAATTAAGTTCTGAGTTATTTGAAGTCAGTAACAACCAAGAGAATAACTATTCTACTTTTTTTTCCTTTAACTTTTGAAGATCTTAAATTCAACTTGATGTAAGTTAAATTATTTTTAATTATTTTTGAATACAGCAGTTCTCTTTTAATAAAAATAAATAATAATTTATAATATTAAAGGCAATGTCTAAATATTTTTAAATTAGAAAATAAAAATAAGCAAAAGGAACACACAAAAAAGTACCTATAATTCCAACCAATCAGCAGTCCTCCACTATAAATAATTCAACTCTTTACATATTGTCTTTTTTATGACAATACTAGGTATAGATTGTTTTCAAGTTCAAATCATTATTTGGATAGAAACTTTCCTATAAAAGACCAACCGATCTAGGTGAAAAAGCACTTAGAATTCAGTGTCAAACTAACTCATATAATTATCCTCCTACCCTGCCCACAGAGACACACGTAGTAAAACATTTTATTGCTAAAATTGGAGCCTGGGGGAATAATCTACATTTTGCCCAGTTTTTATTGGTAGGCTGAAATCAGAACCCAGTCAGAGCAGGTTTAAGGCTCTCAAGGGTAAAAGAAGGAAGTTAAGAAGGTGAATATGGTTGATGTACTACTATGAATGAATACAAGAATGAATACAGAATTTTTAAACCTGTTGAACTCACCATAAGAAGGGAACTAAGGTAGAACAAGAGAAAAATAGAGGTGATGAACCAGTTTGGGTTATAATACATATACGTGGAAATATCACAATGAAATACCCTGTATAGCTATCTTAAACAAACAAAAATGTCATTTTTAAAATAAAAATGGATAACAGGAAGGCAAAACAAGTCCTATCTTGGGAGTTGGTACCAGTTGGGTGGGGGAGAATTATAAGGGAAGGGTGCATGGAAATATCATGTACTCATGTATGAAAATGGAAAAAATGAGACCTGTTGAAACTACCCCAGGGATGGAGGGATTGGGGGATGAAGGAGAATGATGGAGGGGCTGAATTCAACTAAGACATATTGCAAGAAATTTTGTAAATATCACAGTGTGCCCCCAGTACATCAATAATAATTTATTTTTACAAAGAGTAACTTCCAAGTGTAATTATCATCTGTGTGTCCTGGAGTTTGCACAACTCCACTCCCAAATTGGTATTCAACAAATGATGAATGAGCAACTAACATTTTCATGAATATTCTAAAAATCTTGGTCAAAACTGTAATTTCATGACTTTTTTTTCAAATTTCCCCTCTCATATTAGAATCTCCACATAAGAGTTTTCAGACAGTTAAGGCAGAAATAATTGCATAATCCTCAAACTTGGGTAGCAGGAAGATGAAAATAAGTGTGCAAACAATTTCTAAAAAGTGGAACTTTCATTGTAAAATTAAAAAGAAAAGAGTATGCTCTCATCTTAATTCTTTTCCCCTTCTTGCTGACCACTATGCAGAAATGGAGGTTCAATCTTGATCCATGATCTAGAATCTGCTACATGATTAAAGAAGCTTTGCTCCTTAACACTCTGTAGCTATTTTTTTAAATTTTTTTGACCCTGATTTTCTTATGCTTAGAGGATATGTAAGAACAAACAGCTTTCAAGAAAGGCCAGGAATGATGGATAACATCTTTACAGTTACCCCAGGAATAGCAGGGCCTTGCAGGACAGACCACCCTCCAAATAGTTAATAGTTGAGGACAACTATGATGATCAGGCTACACCCTGGAGCAGGAGTGATCATCTCTTGGACACCAGATTGTCCCCCTCAAGTGATGACAGTTTGGAATCCTTAGAGAACAAGGACTGAGATAATGGTCAACTAAGCCCCCCTCAACCATAGAAACACCTGTGACTGGGATTGTTTACCTATGCATACCTTTATGTCCTGCTCTTTATTGTTTGTGTATCTCAATCAAAGCTCATGTCTGCACCCTAAAGATGGCTGAAAATGGGGGTCTCTCTCCATGGCATGTCCTGGACCGCATAGTAAATCTTTCTCTGCCCTTCAAAAAAAAAAAAAGAACAAACAGCTTAACATAGTCATGAATTCAAAAGTTGAATACATAATCCACTCCCATCTAAGAGCCCCTTGTAGGAAAATCTCAAGTTATTGAAATTTATTATGTTTTTACAGCTTCTCATAGTTTTTCTTGTAACCTGGCCTGTCATTTCTACCCAAAGGCAGATTACCAGAAAATGAAATTTTCAGACCAAACCAAATTAGTCAAATATCTCCTCCTTGTTAAATGTAGTCATTATTTTGCATCTATAAATGTGGACTTTATGGACTCGATGCGCCTCTTGTTTGTTAGACATACAAGAACATGACTAGAAAATACAAGAGTCTAGAGTATGAAATCCAATCTGCAATTGACCAGTAGGCTGTGTTGGAGTATTTTTTTATCTAAAGAACTATTCATTGTAAATATACAGACAAATATAAAACATGGATCCAAATTCTGGATCCAATTCAAAACCAATGGAATCCAACATATTAGAAAAGCACTAAATTTTTTCATGAGACTAAACAGAAAGTGAGAGCAAATATTAAGAGACTCCTGTTTTGGAAAACAACATAGAAACAGTGTTGACAGCTGTAATTTATTTATTATATTTGGACAACCTATTTCCAAAAAGGACCTGAAATGGATATTACTAAAAGAAAATGTATTCAATAAAATTCTTAAAAATAAAGTATATAATGGAACAAGGTAGATAATAATTGAAGTCAAAGTGGTCATAATAGGTGCTCTTGCTCTGACTTAGCTGTGAGGATCAGAACAGAAAAGTGGACACTGTCAATATGCAAAGCTTGTACTGGTTTTGGAAGTTGTATACTTTAACAGATTTGTTTCTGTTCTAAGCAATTCTGTATTTTCTATGTAATCTTAAAAGTCCCCCATCCCACTTCACAATTCTGTGAGGAATCACTCCATTCCACTGCCACTGGAAAAGCTATCAAACCAGAATGGCAGGAAAGGGCTCAGACTGAGTTCTGAGAATCCTTCTTGGTACTTTCTTCATTGATGAGCCATGGGGCCCTTGACCATTGTCTTTCTTGTACATGAAAGAAACCTGCTTTAATGAGATGAAGCAAAGTCAAGTGGTGGATAAAAAGGAGGAGAGAGAGAGAAGAGAGAGAGAGAGAGAGAGAGAGAGAGAGAGATGCAGCTTT